AGCTTTTTAGGAATAGCTCCAGGTAGAAGTGGGCAGCGACGATGTCGGAAGCATTAACATTTGTATTTCTGTGTTTGACTGTATTGCACTGAATTTTCAGACAGAATTCTAAAAATATAACTCGATTATGGCACTAAAACAGCTTTCACTTGACGATCGAAATAAATCACACACTTGTGTCCACATTGTGTTTGTTAACTACACTTAAAAATGAGAGGAATATTTTACTGCCACCAGTTGTTGTTTACAATTCTGTATTGCTGTAAATTGTACGTTGCTATAAATTTTACAATTTTCAAGTTAATGCTTAAGTGAGTGCCAGTAGGTATGATTGATGCCTGTGAATCAGCGACAGCCGGTTCGAATCCCAAAATGCAAAGGTAATTTTTAGACTTATAATAACAATCCAATTAGTTATTCAGCACCTTATTGCAGTCCCATAAAAATATATCAGATATGAAGCGGTCTTCATTTTTTTTCTAAATAAAACTAGAAGGCTGAACAAGGATTGGAAAGACTGTTATTGAATGCCTTAAAAAGCTTATAATTTATAAAACTGTTAAGTTTTTGGCCGATTAAAATCACCACATTTAGATGTATAAAAGCTGAACAAAGGTTAACGTGGTATATGTACACCAATTATTCAAAATAAGGCTGAATTAAAATCGATTGAAAAACACTTGTTAAGCATCAAATTTTTACCTGGGATGCTTCATAGCCATCTACTTTTATTGTGGCTGCTTATAAATCAACATTGGGATTATATGTTGGGTTTCATGAGAGCAATTTAAATTGGAATTCGGAGATGAACTAGCCATAGGCTAAAAATCTCCTTAATAAAGAAACAAAGAAAAATAAATAAATTGGAATTATCCTCGGCTTTATCAGACACTATAAGGTGTTTCGCTGTGAGATCCTTATTCTCGTAAACACTTCGCAACTTTAAGTGCACAAATAACAGCTTCCAGGACACGTACAACCATAAAGCAACCATAAAACTTTCCATAAATCTAAATAGCGCTAGCATCAGTTGGTTTTATAATATGATCTATTGGGGTTTTGTAGATAGCATATAATATTTTATGACTTACTTTTTTGTTTTTCCTTGATTTGTTTTCCGTTGATCTTGTTCCGTGCTGAGCACCAATGCTACTAACGCCAGGGAGGCAGCTCTCACACCTGGACCCTACCTATCGACCCATCAACTCATGAACCGGGAACCAACGGCTTTACTTCCCTTCCGAAGGGAGTTGATGCGTTTGATGCATTATTCCAGAGATGAATAGTGACCGTTGAACGCCATTCCAAATCCAATAGCGCTATAGTCAGACCTTCTGACCGTCCTTCCAATGTCCTTCCTGGGCATCCGGTTCGAAGAACCATAATTTTGGGGCCTTTTCCATCCAACCCACAACATCGAAGAGGAGGTAAAAGCCTCTGGTTGAACATATCTATTGCCTGGGGTGAATATGGGGTCCATCCAGTATCCTGTCTTTCCTGGTGTCTTACGGGAATGTTTTGGCCATCGTTGGTTACACAAAACACGGGTCTTACATTACACTGACACTTCACAATAAAATTACTTTATTTAACGCATAACGTATTTACATTTATACATAAATCATTTAATATTGGCACCAAAGTAGGGATAGGATCCGTTTGCCATACCAGGCTAAATGCAACTATTTATCTAATTTCCTACATCACCCCGTTATCATGAATCCATGACGTCATCGATCTCTTCAAATCGATCGATGATGTGTATTTTCTTAAGTATTAGTAGTTTGCCTACCCAGGATTGTATCGTTGGGAGGGTGGTATTCACGCTGCTCCCAAATAAGTTCCAACAAAATTATTAATTCAGACAAAGTTTTTTTTTATTTTTTTTATAGCTTAATTAAGAAGGTTTTTAACCAACTGGCTTCAAATTCAGGCAATTGAAATATTTCAAAATGCCAGCCTAAATAAATTTAAAGATTTTTGAGCTTTTTCGATAACTTAAAACAAATAATAAGTAATAATGAGCGGAAGAAATATTCATGAATCTCAGCTCAGAAGCTTTCAATATTCTGAGACAAGATGTTGGCCTACGAAAAATGTTTAAGATTGCGAGTTCTAAAAAAGCAAGTGATTGAAAATTTCTTTAGAATCCTTAAGATTTTGAGAACTTCACGCTGACATGCACATTAAAAAAATCAGACTTGCTTGATTCAGACAATTCAAAAAGGGGCGTCATTTTCTTGCTTTTCTAAGGGCGTAGCAAACTCTCACTACGACGTTGCTCTTTGGGAAATATAGGAGAATAAAATATCCCTTTAAAACGTGTTTTTTTGAACTGCCTTTGCCGTACTCGTACAAATTCAGCCGTGTAAAAAATGCAAAATTATTATAATACTTGTATTTATTTTATTTTTTTAATAATGCATTTATTTTTCTAGGCTCGTCTGCTGTAGCTTTGCGTAGCCCATAATACTTGTACAAATCAACTAAATTCATATTATACATCAAAGAGACTGTCGGCTCATGGAAGAATCGCGATGTGGAACTGTAAATGTATGTTAATCAGTTGAAATGACCATCGTTCGTAGATGCAATGCAGTACAGTTTTGCGTATAATTCCATCTGTTGATACCTTCATACAGAACACCAACTCAGTGTATGCACTTGTACCACGATTTAACCTGTTTTGTTCTATCCGTCTATTTGGATGTACCATAGTGCCGATTTTGTGGATTAGAATCAGGGTTGCTTCCACTCACTTCGCCATAAAAAATGATTTTTGAAATTATGGAATCAATGGATCTTATAATGATATTTTGTACTTGTCTTGTAATTCACAATAAGAGCTTGAAAATTATAGGTTTAGCACATAGAACCTCATAATTTTGGTTTCAGAGAGTCACAATCAGCGATTTTTTGATTCGTGAGCGTACACTAAGAGGCACTCACGAATTTCTGAAAGCGAAATTGACAGGTTTTATGTGTCAAACACATATTTTTCAACGTCTTCTTATAACTTACAAGTACAAAATATCATTATAGCATCCAATGATTCCATAATACGGAAAAAAAAACATTTTTTTAGAGCGAAGCGGGTGGAAGCAACCCTGATTGAAAGTCTTGTTTTTTATACCAGACCTTTTTATTTTTAATTTTTAATTTCTATGCATGTCTATGTACTTGTACAAGTCTACATCGGTTGATAAAGTTAGCAAAATGAATTTTGTTTGTTCCCGTACTTGCTTTTTGCTTTTGCTGTAAGTTGCTGTTAGGGAACAAACCTAATTACTATTCATATGATATTCACTTAAGACATATAATAAAAATAGATAATAGTAACATAAATGACATTATTCATCTGTGTAACGATTTCAATTAGCAATTTGAATTACAAAGCATCTTTAAAAATACTACTATTTTTTAAGCTTAGGTAAAATTTTCACTGTATGCCTCTCACATATTTCAGTTCGTACAGCTAAAGTCATTGCTAATAACAATGAAACTGTTGCAATGTCGTACACAATTCGTTTCCACATTGCACACCTTGGTTAATTGCAGAAAACTGCAAAGTTAATTTCATGCACAAAGCTGTAAATAATCCAACGCCAGTAATCTAAAATTAAGTTAATCCTCTGCACAAGCATTGCAATATCAAATTAGCTTGTCAATAATGCATGCGTTTAATTTCATATAACGACAAATGAAAATCATTACAAAAATATCGCATTATACAAAACCAACCGGAAACCCATTATTCTAAGTCAGTGCTTTTCTCCAACAAGGCTGCCCTATCACCTCGATGCATAGGATGGGTTGCAAAATCAACACACACGCCATAATGATCATCGTCATTAAAAATTCATCATCGCAGAAAATTGCTACACCGCCATAACCGTAGCCTCCATTTTCATCTGACAATGCTCCATCACACTCATAAACCCTCATAAGCGCTAAGCATACAACAATGAAAATATAATACCACTTCACCAGTCGCAGCCAACACACCGACGTTAGGTAGGTACGGTAAATAAAACAATAATTTACGGTTTATCAATCAATTATTAAAATATCAAATTGAAATAATTTTGCTGCTCTCATTAAATAATTAACCAATCAACCATCCATCCAGCCAAGCAGTGTGGAATGGTCTCATTCAGTAACTATTAAGCGTGGACCGAAGCAAGCCTTGCAGCCATACTGATGTTTGACATTTCCATCTCATTTTTAAATGCATCATAAAGTAAAAGCCACCCAGCAGCCACCGACCGCAGTGCTCATTTTAAATACGAAAACACATGTTTTGAATCATCAATTATGATTTCTGGCTGCTACGGCAACCCACTCCCGCATACCGCAGGATTGACCTCACGCTCCATTTGCCTGAAATAGAGCAATCCACGGTACCTTGATGAATTTTTCATCAGGATCGTGCCATGACAGCCAACCAAGATAACAAAAGCAAGCTCCCATAATTTCAAACGAAAGAAAAACAATCCCACGTATACGTACAGCATCACTCACCGTCACCATCTCACAGTGGGTGGTAACCTCTGTCAGTGAACAAAGGCACCGTTGCCTCTGATAACACACATAGTTGCGCAAAACAACAAAGAGAGACACGGCAGCATGGTGCTCGTTGCGCGTTTGCTCCGCCTACTACTGCTACTGCTCACTCGTTCTGGCTCATTATGGCAACCGCTAGTGGTGCTGGTACTCATCGCTTGCTGCGACGGAAAATGATTTTCCTTCGCTTATCGCGCGCGGTTGGCTGGGAAAATTTGCATGCTTTTACATCGGTCTCCGGAATCTATCACAGTTGATCGCGGGAATTTGAACGATCCGGACGAAACGGAGCCATCAAGCAGTGTCGCATGGTGTGGTCTAAAGCATAATGAATTGATTTGGTTTTGTGATAATAAGTGACTGAAATTGAGAAGATGTAATGGAACTTCAGTTTATATTGATGTAAATCTGGATTAAACGGATTAACACTTCACAGCATGAACACCTTGACGCAGAATATCAGTCCGAATCAGTCCAACCTATTGCGGCTGGTAAGTGTCCCAGAGAGGTTCCTGAAATCAATAAATGTGAAAATTTAATTCTACCAAAGGAACGCAAAAACCAGAAATACACTGAAGAGGGGATAGAACCATGTTTCAACAGTGTGTCAGTTTTTGTGGCTGTGCATGGTGATATATGCTGAACGCAATGGCCGATGCACATATATGTCGGTGCATCATGGCGGAAATGGACAGATTGTTGCAGTTGTATCGATTTTCAATTTTTCCCTTGCATGAATACCTCCGGTGCGGATCGAATTTTGCTGCCATCAGTGTGATAGTTGAGTGCAATGATTTAATTCCTTCGACCGTGGAGCAGGAAGTGACGATTTCAAGGACGATGAGCTGACTATTGCAATCGTTGCAGTGCGGATAACAGTTGGATAAGGTCATTCGCGGTGTTCAAAAGCTCAGTGACCTTTTGTCAAATGTTTTAACATAATTTGTTAATGTAAAAAGAGAATTTTACAAATTACATTAACGTATCCTCTCAGTGTTAAAACCTTGCAGCCCGTACAGTAACAATAACGATGTTCTAGAAAGTATTTTAAGAAAATAAAGCAATAAATTCCAGATTATAAGACTTAGCTTAAAACAATCCTTCTGGTGAACACTTGATCCAAAAAAATAGCACACACACTAAGTCAGGCACTATGTTAGTAACCATGGAATAATAATGCCAGACTACACTAAACGTTCGCTAAGTGCAAGACCTTTAAATTAAATGTCATTTAACTGAGAGTCCACTAGCTGAAACAGGTTTCAGTCAAATGGCATTTATCTGTCAAAATTTTGTGCAATATCGAAATATCAAGAAAATTCGGATGCACTTTAAATGGTTTGACATCTGAAATGTGGTTGCTACTCCGTGATACTGTTAATAAGTATGTCAGTGAATTTAATGCGTTAACGTTAAAACGTTAAAGCTTAAGAAGAAATTAAAGGCGTTGACGATAGTCATTTACGTTATTCTTTAAAAAAAAATATCCGTTTTGGTATTTTAATATGCCTGTTCAATAAATTATAATAATCATGGCTGCCAGACGATTTAAAAAAAACTCTCTTCAACCAAATCTCAAAAAAGAAAAATTTCATCTTCACCTGACCTTTTTATCGTGGTGAAGGTGTTTCAATATTTTTTAATTGATGACATTATTCGTAATCATGTGCACACGCAGAGGTGGGTTGGAGGGAGATACAAATACTCTTCTCCCTTAATTTTCTCTCAAAACAAATTTTTTAAATTTTTAAATTTAAATAAATTCTAAATATTGACACTTAGATTGCAGCAAATCATAAAAATCATAGAGTTTTATTATTGTTTGATGTTTTTGAACTCGAAAGCTCATCAATGTCTCTGAAATTTTAAACTGTGCGGACTAACTGAACCAAAGCATTTTTTCGAAGCTTATTAACGGTATTGGCGTAAATAGGCCATTCTCCTGAATTTAGGGCAGAGAAAAATTGACCATTGGAATTATTTTAGAAACGTCGAACTTAAATTAATTAAGATCACGAACAGAATTCTAATTGCGATAAATCTTCAAGAATGTGGAACTTACACTCCCGATGAAAAGTTTGGGATCAGACAAAAAAAAACATGCAAATGTTTAATTTCCATTCTCTAAAGATCATTTGAAAGGTATTGAATGAAACTTTCTTCGTAGGTATTTTGCTACATATTTGTTCCAAATTCCATATACTAAAACTTCACCTAAAACTAGAACATTCTCCAAATCTCACACTGAATAATCATGACTGATGTTCTCAGAAATGGGTCGGCCAAATTTTGGAATGAAAGTGGTAGTACAATGCTTATTCTATACACGGATAGAAATCTCCTTATACCTTTTAGCAAAATTCTATAGCTGATTACCCCCTAAAATGTATAAGTCAGACGCCTTGTAAAAAAGTTAATGAAGATCATGTGGCAAATGGAATGTATAAATGGTCACACATACTGTTGTAAGTTTAGGTGAAATTTTAGTATGAAAAATTAAAAAAAAATATGTTGAGCCACATACCTCATATCTAAAATAGGACGGGAAATGGCATAAATATGAACAAAAATCATTCAGAGAGTGATTTCACACTTTTGAGCGATACATAACGTACTGTACTGTAAGGTGACCCTAAACTAATGATCGATGGCTTCAATCACTATTCAATTGATTTACAATATTGTCTAAACTTTTCCACTAAATTTTCAGTAAAGTTCCTGGGTGGGAATAGAATAAGAATTCTACTATTTGGAAAATGTTGTAACTTTAGGTGTAGTTTTAGTATTCAAAATGTGAATCAAATTTGTAGCAAAATACCCTAGGGGCTGTCAACTTAAGTATTTACAATCTAATCAACCATGATTAAACTGGGATTAATATCAGATGCTTATTTTTTAGAAAGAGAGGATTAATTTTTAATCATTCGATATGATTAAACTGAGTTTAATGTCAAATTGATTAAATTTCAAGCAAAATGGGAATAGTTCATTTTATCAGTGTACGGAGGGAGATAAGGGACCTTCTGTATCCCTTCCGCCAGCTCACTTATATCAATGAAAGTAAAGTTTCAGACTGAAACAATTTCCCAAATTGAGTCTCCCATCTTCTCGAGTTGGTATGATCGGATGAGTTATGCAAAAACCACAGACAAACAGACGTAACACTTCATTGTGTATCTTCGTTCACGCATTTAACGGTTGATTTGAATATTATCAGTTCCACGAACTACTCGCCGCAGCGCTGGCATCGGATCAGTTTGACGTTTCTAAACATTCTATAGAACGCAATATTGTTTGCGAGTTAGCGAGCAAGCTTGTTTTCCGCGAGAAGTCAGAGAGGCGTCGTTACTGAGATCCTATGTTTTGAGATACCATGTTTTCAAGAAGAACTTTTTCAAAGAGTTACGTCTGTTTGTCTGTGCAAAAACATTTGTTCAATCTCATAGGAGCAGTTTGTAAGCAAGTACCCCCTACCCCTTCCCTACTTTTTTGGTGTAATACACAATGTTAGAGGATTGTAATTATTAAATTTTTAGTTTAATATGTTCTACGATTTCTTAGGTTACTCTTTTCGATGCTGATCGATCACCTGAAGCAAAAATTGCTGTTGAACTGCGTCTCGGGAGGATTTCTTGTTAAATTCGGAAATTAGCTTCACCCCTCGTTCAGCCACATCGTTCACAACAATCAAGGAGCAACTCGTTGTTTCGCATTGAAATAACCTGTATCATTTCCATTCGTTTGTCGGTGTTCGCATGAATTCGGTCGAAATTTCGAAAAGGAATCTGCACTGTCAGAAATGACGTTTGACTATAGCCCAACTAATGGAAGCTCAACTAAAATTTAGTCCACTTAAAGATGGCCCAATTACTCGAGAAGATAGGAAACTCTGAAGTTATTTCAAGTGTGTAACGTTACTTTAATTTGTATAAGTGAGGGTTGGAGGGGATACAGTAAACCTCTTCCTCCCCCTATCCAACTACGCCTATTACATTGAGCAAATATTTTTGTATAACACATCTAAACATACCAACTTAACAAGATGAGAAACATCTTAGTTATTTCAGTTTGAACTTTTCCTTCTATTGACATGAGTGAGGTGACAGGGGTTTAGTAAGCCCTCCTGCCTAACGACGCTTATGATATGAGCAATTATTTTTTAACAATTCATCTGAACATACCTACTTGAAAAGATGATAAGCTTAGAGTTTCAGTTTGAAACTTTACACCCCTGCCACCCTCCCCCCCCCCCCACCAGCTACGCGTATGAGATAGAGCAAATGTTATAGAATTAATCATCTGCATACCAAATCGATAAGATAAGAAAATCCGAAATTATTTCAGTTTGAAATCATACTTTCATTGTAACACTGCACTGGCAGTGGTGGCAGGAAAAGTGATTTTTTGTATATAATTCGAAATATCGACCTTTGAACAGGAAATCAACAGCAAATCACTTCATTTTAGATTGTATTGTACATCGTTGTTGATGTGATGTGCTTTGAACTTGAAATGTCAAGCATACTGATATTAAAATTCTATAACTTTAAATTTAATTAATGTATCTTTGGATTTCATGTTTGCTGAATATGAATTTAAATAATATATTGCCTTGATCATACTGCAAGCCTTGTTATATGTAATTAAGAATATGACCATAATACATATATCATAAATATTACTACCCAGGTTGCATGTGTCCAAGTGATATTGAGCTACATTACAAGGCTTGTAGTAGAATTAATATTGAGCAATCAATTTGATAAGTTTGACAATGTTTTGTAATAGAACTTATCCAAATAATACACTATTATTGAATACAGAAAAAATTTCGTAATACTCTCGCTCTAGAATGCAAATTATTTCAGGTGGAAATGGAGAATTATCGCTTTTTTGCTCTTAATTAATTTATTGTTGACTTGCCATCTTCGCGAGTAATGTTAGGCATGTGCGTTTTTGACATTTGCTTCCAAAAGCAAAACTAATAAAATTCAATGGATGAAAACAGTGGTGCCAATTCAAATGATAATCATTTTGATTTAAAGGTGTTATACAGTACATATTTTTCAACGACAAATCACTTTGTTTCAAAACACAAATCGCTTGAAAATCAACGATAAATCACTTTGATTCGTAGACATGACGCATGACAGACTGAGTCAAGTGCAAGAGCATTTGGATTAGATGTGACAACTTTTTACCGTGAAGGTCCCAGAGAAGAGACGCCAGTGGTGTAGTGGTAAGCGTGACTGCTTCTCACTGCAAAGGGCCTGGGTCTAAACACTTGTTGCCTCCTAGAGCCTCAGCGTAGCCAGCTAGTCACGTGACATGTGGAGATTGTCGATAGAAAAGCTTATTACTCATCGAATGGTGTATCAGGAGCAAAAAACGGACAACTAGACCCAGATCTATGATTCGCCGCGCAAAACCCTTATTTCAAAACGGCCCTCTTAGAGGCTGACTTCGCTCAAAAATATAAAATTTCCAACGC